TTGGAAGATCTTAGGACCTATAAATATATTATTTAGCAGCCCTAAACGGGTGTGTGCTCCTCTAATGAGATTTTGAGCCACCAAACTCTGTTTTTCTAGGGTTAGGCGATGGAGATGGGGATTCTTCCCCAGATCCATTGTTCTTTCTCCTTTCTATCTTATTAACTTTTCAGTTTCATTCTTTTGCATTCTTTTATGTCTTTCATCATTCATTGCATCATGTAGATTAGTCCCAGAGAGTCAAGTTGTTTGAAGATATCGACAAGCATATATATATCGATTAGGATTGAGTCGCAAACGTAGTCGTTATTCAGTCGCACAATTACCGACTGATTTGTGACTAATTTACTTCGACAGGCTTTAGTCGTTAGTCAGTCGCTATTTAATGATTTCTTTATTTAGCAACTCAATATTAGAGACCAATTGAATTAGTCGCTAATACGTCGTAAATGGACTTTTAGCGACTACGTAGCGACTGTTATTGTGGTCACTAAATCCTTGTTTTCTTGTAGTGAGAGTTGCAGGAGAAGGCACAATGATGCTCTCCCTCAGCGGCTCCTCCTTCGAAGACGGCGGCCTCCTTAGGGTTTCTGAGGCATACACACGAAAATCTCTCTATCTCTCTCTAAGTCTGCGGTCTCTCTCTTTAGAATGACCTAAAGAGGGCATTTATAGTTTCTGAAGTTGTCCTGGATACTTAGGGCTTCAAAAATAATAGAAGAAATCGACTTGGGCTTTAATTAGATCGTCTGGGAAGTGAACACTGTCTGGCCACGATCGCGGTGCTCCTACCCGCGGGGAACTATGCTTTGGTCGCGGTCCCGGCTCGTGCTGTCTTCTGAGACTGCATTTTCTTTCTTTATTGCATCGGTAGTATCTGAAGATCTAACCGTTGACTTGTTTCCAAACTAATTGAATTAGAAGTTTGGTTGTATCCTCTATGTTGTCTTAAATTTTAGGGGTGATCAGACGGTGAGAGGGTCTTCATCGCTTGCCATACTTCTGATGGTCTGCATTTATCCAAAATTGCTCATTTGTTCCAAATTGCATATCTTTTGCCCATGTTTCCTGAAAAGTCTTTTGAAACTCTAAAACATTGGAGTAATTAAAAAAGCATTGAAAACAGAGTTAAAAACACCTGCATAAAACATTATTATGATCCATAAAAGTGGTCAAAATACAGTGTTATCACCTGATCTCACAAAAGTTTACTTTCAAAACGGGTAAGCAAGTCAAGACTACATCGTAAATCCTAAAGTTTAAGTAAACATTTTAAACCCAGTACATGCTTTCTAGCACACACACACACTTCTCAGTACACTGGTCTACGACATCTCAAAAACATAAAACATCCACAAGTTAGTATGAGATATTTAAATATTTTTTAAAACAGGTATAAGCCAAGACTACTCTGCAGGCCCTAAAATCAACGAAAGTACCCAAAACTCAGCAGTCATGTGTTCTAACACGCCGGTCCTCAACATCCAGTGGACATTTTATTACCATAATTTTCACTTCGGCATATTCTATAAGGTTTTAAAAATGCCAACAAAACTGACATGAGACAAACATCGAGTTATAGGATCAAATAAATCAAGCCGAGCACAAGCTAAAAAAAAAATCTGTGGTATGCACTGTTGATGTTTTGTGTTTGAGTGTTTACGGGAATGAAAGAAAAAAACAAGAGTATAGTTGTAATCGATATTTTATTAATGATTTGAAAAAGTATTACAACTTGTTTTGTGATACAAGAAACAAAGACTCGATATATTACTTATACAAAATGAAATGTTGTGTTTGTGTAAAATGAAAAGACATGACTCTTGATCCAAAGGACACAACTCTAAAACAGAACATTGCGTCTTTTGATCAATAACTGAAAACGTAACTAACTAATGTAAATGTGACTTTGGTTTAGAGATATGATTATGGTTCAACACTCCCCCTTAATCATATCTCGACTTCACTCCAAGCTTCTTCCTTAGTTCTTCAAACCTTGAAGCGCTTAAGGCTTTGGTAAGTATATCCGCGAGTTGATCTACTCCTTTGCAATACTCAAGTTTAATGAGTCCATTATGCTCCGCTTCTCTCACGAAATGATACTTGATCTCTATGTGTTTCGTCCTTCTGTGTTGAACTGGATTCTTCCCAATAGCTATTGCCGATTTGTTGTCGCATAAGATGGGAATGCCTTCTTCAATCTGTAAACCAAAATCCTCCAAGAGTCTTTGTAACCAAATGGCTTGGTTTGTTGCTGCACAAACGGCTATATACTCTGCTTCCGCCGTTGATTGAGCCACCGTTTGCTGCTTGCAGGATTGCCAACAAAACATAGGCGATCCAAGACTAAACACATAACCTGTGGTGCTTTTCTTGTCTTCGATAGAACCTCCCCAATCGCTGTCTGAATATCCGATCAATCTTGGTTCCTTTGCACTTGTGAAAGACACTCCAAAGCTTGCTGTTCCCTTAACATACCTTAAGACTCTCTTGGCTTCTTGATAGGGCTTCATGTGCGGTGATGACATATATCTTGATAGATAAGCACTTGCATACATCACATCAGGTCTTGATGCACACAAGTACAAGAGTCCTCCTACGATGCTTCGATACTTTGTTGGATCTCCATACTCTTCGCCATCTTCCTCTCGTTTTCCTTGTGGTGTAAGTGGGGTGCTCACACTCTTGCTTCCCTTCATTCCAAACTTGTCAATAAGTTTGTTTGCATATTTTTCTTGTGAAAGAAATATGCCTTGATCATCTTGAATTATTTCCATACCAAGAAAATAATTTAATAATCCAAGATCAGTCATCTCGAATTCTTTCTTCATGTTCTCCTTGAATGTGTTGATAAGATGAATGTTGCTCCCTGTGATGATGATATCATCAACGTATAAGCTAACAATCAACACTTCTTCTCCTTGCTTCAAGATGTATAAGGCCGCTTTATTCATACTTCTCTCAAAACCGTTTTGAATGAAGTAAGAATCTATCCTTCCATACCAAGTCCTTGGCGCTTGCTTTAAACCATATAAAGCCTTGTATAGCCTTAACACCTTTTTCTTCCTTGCCTTCAATCACAAACCCAGGTGGTTGTGTGACATAAACTTCTTCTTTTAACTCTCCATTCAGAAAGGCTGACTTGACATCCATTTGATACAATCTCCATCTCATTTGAGCCGCATATGCAAGGATGGCTCTTATTGTATCATGTCTTGAAACTGGGGTAAACGTCTCAAGGTAATCGACTCCATATTCTTGAGAAAAACCTCTTGCTACTGGTCTTGCCTTGTGTTTGATCGGATTACCACTTGCATCTGTCTTGATCTTGTAGATCCATTTCACACTTATAACATGTTTGTTCTCCGGCTTGTCTACTAGTTTCTATGTCTTGTTTTTCTCAATCATGTCGATCTCTTCCTTCATAGCTTTTCTCCACTCTTTGTCAATGCATGCTTCATTGTAGGTTTGTGGTTCTTCATGCGCTAGAAGACATTCTTCTATGATTTCAGCCGCTTCTTCAATGTCCACCCTTGGTGCTATATTCATGATCTCTTGCATAGATCTGAATCTTCTTGGAGGCTCGGATGTCTCTCTTTCATCACTTCCATCTTCATTGTTATCATAATCATCTTCTTGAACCAAAACCGAACTGGAGATGTTTCTGGTTGGATCTTGTGATTTTTGTTGATCGTTGATAGGTAAAACAAAGATTTTCTTCACTTCTTCTTGCTTGTTCCAATCCCACTTCTTGTTTTCATCAAACTCAACATCTCTTGATACTTCAACCTTCTCATTCTCCAAGATAAAAACTCTATAGCCTTTTGACTGATTGCTATAGCCAATGAAGATTCCACGCTTTGCCTTAGCGTCTAACTTCCTTCTTTTTTGATCCGCTATATGCACATAGCATATGCTCCCAAATATTTTCAAGTGTGACACATTTGGCTTGTGTCCACACCACTTCTCTATAGGCGTCATATCATCTTCAATAGCCTTTGATGGAAGACGGTTTTGAATGTAAGCCGAGGTATAAACCGCTTCTGCCCATAACTTGAGTGGTAAACCTTGCTCAACAATCATTGATCTTGCCATCTCCACCAAAGATCTATTCTTCCTTTCTGCTGCACCATTTTGTTGTGGCGAGTAAGGCAAAGTAACTTGCCTATTGATCCCTTCTTCTTCACAAAACTTGTTGAATTCTTGTGAAGTGAATTCACCACTACCGTCTGATCTTAACGTCTTGATAACACAACTGGATTGCTTCTCTATCATGGCCTTGAACTTCTTAAACGTTAAGAATGTTTCTGATTTGTATTTTAGAAAATATACCCAACACATGTGAGTATAATCATCCAAAAACAACAGAAAGTAACAGCTTCCATCGAGTGATTGGTGTTGCATAGGTCCACATACATCCGTATGCACAATCTCAAGCTTTTCTTCTGTCTTTGTTTGAGATTCTTTTGGAAAGCTTTTGCGTGATTGCTTTCCAAGATTACACGCCTCACATACTTCTTTGTTGACTTTAAACTTTGGTAACCCATTTACCAAGTCTTTGTCTTGCATTTGTTTCAATCGTTTGTTGCCTACATGACCAAGCCTTTTGTGCCATGTCTCCATCTTCTCTTGCTCACTTGCATTCATAGCTTCTTCTTGAACCATTTTCAACTTGATTCTGAAACTTTTGTGAGTCATTGGGATCTCCATTATCTTCTTGCCTTTTGCATCAAGTATGATGCATCTTTTGTCTTCAAAACTCACTCGATAACCGCTTGAAATGATTTGAGGAACACTCAATAGATTTTTCTCCAAGCCAGGCACCAAAAACACGTTTTGAATGATCTTCTTGCCATTGTTTGTCATGATGGTAACATCTCCTTTACCGGCTGTCATGACAATTTCTCCATTACCGACTTTGATCGGAACTTTGACACTTTTGTCAATTTTAGAGAAGTACCCCTCCTCCTTAGTCATATGGTTAGTGCATCCACTGTCTACTAACCAAATATCTTCTTTTTTGTTGCTGCTTCGATTTCACTTGCAGTAAACAACATGTGATCTTCATCACTCGAGTCTTCTTCTTCGAGACTCACATGTGCCCTCTCTTTCTTCTTTGAGCGACACTTGTTTGAGTAGTGGCCGATCTTACCACAATTGTAACACTTAATGTTACTTTTCTTATTCTTGCCTTGATCGTTCTCCTTCGGTTTCTTCCAACACTCTTCGTTTGTGTGACTGCTTCTCTTGCAAAACTCACACCACTTCTTGCCTTGATTCTCACGGCTTCTAGTGTTGTTTTGTTTGGAACCGGTTTCTCTTGCCTTTGTGCGGGCATTGAATGCTCCTTCATTTGTGCTTTCATCTCTTGCAGATAGCCTTGCTTCATGTGCTTTCAAAATACCGATTAGCTCTGTCATTGTTAATGAATCCAAGTCGCGAGTTTGTTCCAAAACGCTGACAATGCTATCGAACTTGGCTGGGAGAGAAATGAGTATCTTCTGAACGACTTGAGAATTTGTTTTCTTTTTTCCATGATAAGTTAATTGATTTTCCAAAACAATCAACTTATCAGTGAATGATTTGATGTCTTCTCCATCATACATCTTTAGATTTTCGTATTCCCTACGCAACGCTTGAAGTTTAACCAAACGAACTTGCGTAGATCCTTCATATTCAGTCTTCAAAGCCTCCCATGCCTCTTTAGATGTTGATGCTGCCACAATTCGTGAGAAGGTTTGATCCGTAATGGCAGTTTGCAGAATTTGCAAAGCGATCGTATCGTTCAACATCGCTTCTTCTCTAAGCGTTTTTTCCCTTGCTGTTTCAGGGTTTCCTCCGTTCGTACTGGTTCGGCTGGCACGCCTTCTTCAACCACAGACCATAGTTTCCTGGTCTTGAGAATGGTTGTCATCTTAATGCTCCAGAAGTCGTACTTCTCCCCATCGAATATGGGGATCACTTGATGTGAAGAGCCTTGCATCGTCTCGGCTTATTTTGCGAAATCGTATGCGAAAAACTTTGTTTTTGTTCTTGCTGTGATTGTTTGTGCTTTCTCTTTTGTCCTCTCAATCGATAAGCTCTGATACCATGTTGATATTTTGTGTTTGAGTGTTTACGGGAATGAAAGAAAAAAACAGAGTATAGTTGTAATCGATATTTTATTAATGATTTGAAAAAGTATTACAACTTGTTTTGTGATACAAGAAACAAAGACTCGATCTATTACTTATACAAAATGAAACGTTGTGTTTGTGTAAAATGAAAAGACATGACTCTTGATCCAAAGGACACAACTCTAAAACAGAACACTGCGTCTTTTGATCAATAACTGAAAACGTAACTAACTAATGTAAATGTGACTTTGGTTTAGAGATATGATTATGGTTCAACATGCACCAACAACGCATAAAATTATGCCTCAATCGTCGATCTCTTTGAAATCTTGACCTTGTCAACATACAAACAAGCAAATAATCGGTCAAATCATCGGCTAACTGCAAACGTTTTACAAACTAACACATCCCGATCTCAGATTCATGTACTTGCCATGAATTCATTTCTTAGACAAAGAACCCCTAATGAAGTTATCTCCTCACATGAAGAACATGGAGACAAAAGTCATGAATTTTGGGTTTCAGACCCATAAAATTTGAACTCACTTCAGACTTAACTCTGACATAGAACAATTTCGTCTTGACTCATCAGAACACCACTTAAGCATGAAAATGATTACAGAGACTTTATTTCACTTCGAGAATAAGTTCTCTAACTCCACCTTAGGAAAAGAGGGCACTGAACGTAGAACCAAAATTAAATTCACAAGCGATGAACTTGAAAGATAAAGCTCTAGAATGCACCAGAAAGAAAATGGAATCCACCAGAAAGAAACAGGAATCCACCAGCAAAGAGAAAACTCTCAAATTTGATTAAATCATAATAAGGTTGACTTTCGTAAACTTCAAAAGTTGTTTGAATACTAAAACAAAACCCTAAACTGAAAAGGAAAAACCCCAAATAAACCAAAAATAAAAATACGAAATAAAAACTAGATATTAAAAAAAAAAACATAACGATTAGCCTCCTACATCAGACTTCTCCACTTCTGAAGAACTCGTCCTTAAGTTCCTTTCTTGATAAGAGAACCACATCTGCCTTGCATGGACCATAGTTGCTAGGTTGTAGTTTGTTGTACCTCGAATTCTTTTCTTGATAACAAACGATATCTGCCTTGCATGGACCATAGTTTTTAGGTTACTGTTTGTTGTATCTCGAGTTCTTTTTTTGATAAAGAATCACATCTTGCTTGAATGGACCATAATTTCTAGGCTGCAGCTTATCATACGTACTAGCTTGAAACTTCTTCTTTTGGAAGAACAACATCACAAATACACCTTCTTCTTCTCCAACTCTGAAGTTTCGTAGAATAATGGAATCAAAGCTACACCTTCTGGATTTATTTTTTTCTCCAATTTTGAAGATCCGGATAATGGAACATCTTTCTTTACCGAAAAAGCAAGATCATACTGTAGAAGTTTTTGATCATCTCTTTCTCCATGAATTCTTCTTTATCATAACTCGGATCTTCCACAATAACATCATGATTGCTCCCTTCCCTTGGAACCCTAGTTGGTTATTATCTTCTGCCTCTTTGCTGATTTATGCTGGCGTTGCTAATTTTATTTATCAACGTAGTCATCGTACTGGAAAAAGCTACAACACCATTGTTTCCAAGTATGGACCATTCAAGATGTTACAAAAGATCAATGATAAACTTATGTTGTGGCTCTCCCAGAATCGATGAACGTCATTCCTAATACCTTCAATGTAGCTAACATTCACGAGTATCAAGTAGATGGGATTTTTTATACAGAAGAGAATTTGAGGAATATTTTTTTAGAGGTGGAGGAGACTGACGTAGGAGAGATTTAGTTTTTATTTCCTTTTTATGTAATATTTTATCTTTTCCTTTTTCTAAGTTTTACTATTTTGATAATTCCTTTTTTTTGCTTCGTTTCTCTATACATAGATGCTCTAGTTTATTTGTAAGACACGTTATTTTCTAATTAATCAAGCTGAGAGACTTTTCTCTATTCTGATGGATTTACAGAGTTTTCTTCTTCAAGTTCATCGCTAGTGAACTTGAATTCAAAGTAGGTTTAGTGTTTGCTAATCCTAGGGATTTCTGACTGCATCAGGTGGTATCAGAGCAGGCTTTCTACTGTCTCTTTTTCAAAACATGATCAGCCATGGGAGATCAATCGTTAACCAAAGCAGACTTTTAGGGCTTTACGGAGGCTTTTACCACATCCCTTTGGCCGAACAGATATTGATTTAAACAACTCAGAATAACATCAACGAAAATCAACAGAGAGATAGAGAAGAAAAATCTGTTAGGTTCAACAAAGATCATCAAAGAAACAGAGGAGAACCCCAAAATATTGGAAACAATGGTGTTGTAGCTGAGATCAGATGGAAATAGAATGAGCTTGCATGACGAAGATAGGCTGGCCCATGGTGGAGGAGCTCGAGCCGTGGTCGGAGTTTCGTTGGCTGCGCCTCAGGCTGGGGGCTCCTCGGATTGCTTGATGGGACTTCTTGATGTTCATGTATCTATTGATTAAACAGTTGGATCGTTCTCAAATCAAGTGTAATAGAAAGCTGGTGGATCCCTTTTGAATATCTCGAGGTTTGGACTGGATCAGACGGTGAAAAGGTCTTTATTTGAAGCGAAAAATTCTGATGGTTTGACGCTAAGCCGAAAATCTGGTTTATATCGAATTTATAATGCTTTTATCTAAATATTTTGAAAAGAGTCCTGATACTACAAGTATACAAAAATCATAGTAAAAACATTTAAAACCGAATAAAATACTTGTAAAAGCATATTAAAACCATAGTAAAAATAGGTAAAAACACGGTGTTATTATCCAACAAGTGAACAAACTTGAAGCTATGCTTCAACAAGTTATTGAAGAGCACAATCAGAACATTAAGGAACTACATGAGAAGATTGATGGATTCTACCATAGTCTCCCTCCTAAGTACAAATCCTTCTCCGCTGATATTAAGAAGTTGGATGTCCAGTCAGACTATTGAAGTTGTGAAAAGACTTCGATATGATCATAGAATCCTCTCCCTAGATCAACGCTCAAGCACTGGACTGGGACTGATAATCCTTGCAAACAACAAGTGTTTCAAGGCTTGTGGAATCGATAAGACTCCACAGGTTGTGGAAAGACCTTTGATGAATTTGGTTCGACTTCTTCACTGGATATGACACACAAGGCAAAGAGAATCAAAGGAAATGTTTGCAAACACTCTGAAATTTGATATTTTTAAATAATTTCAAATTTAAATAAAATAATTTCTTATGTAATTAATAATTTGATACATCTTTATTGTTGATTTGTTATAGAAAGATGAGGTGTCATCATTTGATATTTCTTGTTTAACTATTATATATTAGATTTAAATGCATCATCTGTATATTGAAGTTTTTTAAAATATAGTGAAGGCACAACCACCAATCTATGTGTATACTGATAAATCCAATATTAAAGACGACTGAGGTTCATAAGATTGGGCAAAGATTCTCAGCATGCATATTACACATCCCCATTACATTTTGAGAGAAAAAAAAAAACAAACATTTCAGAAAATGAAACATAACAACTAAATTTTGGATCAGATGTTGTTTCTTATTTGTCTTAGTACTTATATATGGTTTAATTACATCAAAATATTCACTTCTGGTCCTTCTGAGATAACACTGTTCTTCTTTGTTCCTCTGGTTGCATGGATTTGCTACTGTGTGCTTAACGTCTGAGTTCTGGTTCATGGGAAACGATTCTTTTAGGGGTGTTATTCTTCCTTGTCTCTAATCTGTTCTTCAGATCTTTTTTCGCACCATTGTTCTTCCTTGGCTTCACTTCTGACTCTTGTGAACTGGTTGCTTCACTATCTGTTGAATTCTCCTCATGATATGGTTCAGGTGACCGAGCTCTGATGAGAAGAGCTTTGTAGGGAACTTTTCTCGAAGTATTGTCATTCCTCGGCTTCATTCCCTTCTCTGTCGAGCCAGTTGCTTCATTATCCATTGAATTTTCTTCAACTGGTTCAGGGGACTGAGCTCTTATGCGAAGTGATTTGTAGGGCCGCTTTGGATGGGGAGAAGCCACATGTGGTAGTCTTCCACGCAGCTGAGAGTTATCACTCATTGACCTTGAAATATTGAAAGATTAACAATGAACAACAAGAGAGACCTAGAGAGGGGGTAGAGAGAGCAAGAGAAGTAAAGAGTGTTTATGAGAACATAGAAGTGTCTTTGGAGGACTATATAGATTTACAATGTATTATCTCTCTTTTTATTTTTTTATTAATACCTCTTTACAGTTGTTATTAATAGCTTTTAATTAAAAATTTACGCTTGTAAAAGATAGAGAAGAAAAATACTATATTGATGATGCATTCTTTAATTAAATCGTTTGTTGAATTAAGTCTAAAAATTTTAAGCTAATTTCACTGTACTTAAAATTAAAGGATATGGAAATAGTTTTTTTTAAAAGGTAAGTATTCCTTTTAAACAATATTTATTATAGAATTTGAATTTGAGTGGTGATACAACACCACCACTAATATAGCTACAAGTCATAATTATTTTTTAAAATATAAACTAAAAAAGGAAAAATATCCTTTAAGATTTTGAGGTATTCAAGCTATATAAGCATGGTCTAAAAGAGATATCAACATATCTGTATTTGAAAATATTTACTTAAAAATATATTTTGACCATAAATGTATATAGTATAAAATCTGTAAAATATTTTGACCATAAAATTATATTACTATATATATAGAGGGAGAGAGAGAGAGAAAGAGATATTATTTTAATAAATAAAAAAATAATTTTTCCATAAATATACATATATACATATATATTGTCACACACACACAGATAAATATACATATATATATATATATTATCACACACACATATATATTTATATATATATATATATATATATATCTTTTTAGTAAAATTTATTATGATATTTTAAATTTTATGCTAAATAAGGATATGCAGATTAATTAAACAACTCAGGAGATTATGTACCTTATTATTTCAGATATATATATATCAGAGATGGTTAGATATTTAAATATCAGAGATAGTTAGATATTAAGTTTATTAAGAGTCTTAGGTCTAAATTTCATGTGATCTATTATTAATATTATTTTTAGTTTTTGGGAAAAAGAATTTTATTTTCCTGAGTGTTTTAGCCAGTCTAAAAAAAGGTTATAAGTCCCATTTTTACTAGACAGGATTGTAAGGAGTTATAAAACTTTTTCTTAAATATACTAAAAATGAGTTTATTTAAAATATCAATATCAAACAGGTCCGAGTTCGCCTCTTCTTCTAGGTCTGATAGGAAGTCTCTGAGAAACTAAAAAAGAGTCATCACTAGTCATGAAACAACTATAGATGATTTAATTTCCAAGGTTCAATTGATAATTGATAAACTCCAAAAGTTCATAAAGAACAAATTTATCAAATCTCAAAATTAATTTTTCTAAGAACAGATTATTCAATTAAAACACAAGAACGAGATATACAACTTACAAAACCTTTTGCAACAATTCATTTTTTTCTGAAAATGCTTTAAAAAGACATAGAGAAGACGGTTTCAAATATATACATATTGGTTTAGTTCAAGTTGGAATTAAACCACTTTCAAAAGAAGGATTAAATACTTCAATTTTACCTATTTTAAAAGATACGAGATTTAAAATATTTGAGGATTATTTATTAAGCTCTATTGAATCAAGTTTGTGTACTGATCCAATTTCATTAGATTGTTATCCAAATTTTACAGTATCTTTAAAAGATAAAAAATATCTTAAAATCTCTAGTTTACAAGTTAAAACTCACAATTATGAAATAATAGAAGGATCTATTCCAATTGCTATAATTTTTAGAGTTCATCATAAAGCTATGATGAGTGCTTTCTCTTCAAAAGTAAAATTTCGAGTAAAAAGGGTGAAACCTTCTTACTACAAACAGATCTTTCGAGATCCAACTCCGTAATTCCAAGATCTATTCAATGGAAAGAAAGAAATATTTCTGATGAATGGGTCCTTGAAGGAGTTGTCCAACCAAATCCTACAAAACCCCATGAACCTTTAGAGCCAAATACACGTTTAAAACATATTGAACAATTTCATGATGGAAAGGTAAAACTTTCTTTCATAAGAAATCATCATGAAAACATAGATGATGACACATGCGAATCTTCCTCTCTTCCAGAAATTATTGATCTAGGAAGAGTTTCCCAATTAGCCCAATATTTTTCCAGAATGGAAAATTGTCCAAATTTCCAACCACGGTTTTCAAATTCTAATATTCCAAATTCTGTTTTAAGAAATGTTGATTTTAGAACACAAATCCCAAAACCCGTTTAAAAAGCAGAAAGTAGTTTTCAACATAATGACTTTTCTACAAAATCTGAGCCAACATGTTCTACTTTCTCAGCTAATACAGATAATATGATAAATGGGTTAAATGTTTTAGAAAAAGATTTTCAAATCGATAAAGAGTTTTATGTAATGAATTTTACTCTAAAAATAACACCCAAAATAAATTTTGGTTTTTCAAAAACTTTTTAAAAACTAGAAAAATAATCCAAGAAGAGTTTTATAAATATCTCTATGAACATAAAATACAACTTTTTTTTTCAATTGGTTTGAATACTATGCATTCAAAAATAGTATCTATTTTCCCTTTTCTAAAACTGTGAATCTAATCACCACTCGCAATAAAATCCCTGAATGGGAAACCCTTGCCAATGGAAAAATTATTCGTTCCAATCACCCCCCTCAACAGGGAATCAAGCTTGAATTATTGGAAACACCAATTGAAGTGATTCCTTTTAAACGTCCCCAAGATGATGATAAGACTAATATCAAAAATATCATCGTCCAAAATAATTTTTCAAATACGAATCTTGGAACAATAGGCAAACAGCTTGATACAATAAAAAAAAATCAATTTAAAATCAACCTATCACTCCAATAGATTATACCCCTGAAAAGAAAAAAAAAACTCATATTCAAACCTTTCCAAATTTCTAGCTCTAGTGTCAAAACTTACCAAGAGACAAATAAAGAATTCATTTGTGCCCTCCAAAGCCAACTAAGTAAGATAGACATAGGAGAAAATAGCATGCCACATGAATCCAATATTCCCGATACTCCTACTTCTAAAGCCCAAATAAATACTCTAGCTAATGAATCCTATGCTAGTGAATCCTCTTAACAAAATTTAATCCCTGAGATTAACCGTCTGGGTAGGAAAAACCATCAAGATCTTCAATTAATCTCTGCCCCTGACCTAGGTCAAATCCCGACAATAGAACAATCTAGATTCAATTCATCTTCAGTTTATGACTGGAATATCGATGGAATATCTGAGTACAATATCTTAAATTTCCTACAAAATATGACAATGGCCGCAAATGCCTACAGAACTCAAGTAGGAAATGAGGATAGAACCGTAGCTGAGATCCTAGTAGCTGGTTTTTCATGCCAGCTTAAAGGATGGTGGGATAACTACCTAAACAATCAGCAACGCTCAGAAATCCTAGATGCCGGTCAAAACGGATAAGGATAATGTGCCCATACTAGATAATTTTGGAAATCCCCAACAAGATCCTGTAGCCACCTTAGTTATAGCCATAACCTTACATTTCATAGGAGATCCCTCAGTACTTAGAGATAAGAACGCCGAACTCCTTTCAAACCTTAAATGCAAAAAGTTTAGTGAATTCCAATGGTATAAAAACACTTTTCTTACTAGGGTTCTACTCCACCAAGATTCAAACCAACCTTTTTGGAAAGAAACATTCCTCGCAGGACTTCCAACTCTTCTATGAGAAAAAGTTACAAATAAAATTAGAGATTCCACAGGAACCCAAATAATTGATTATGATGATTTCACGTATGGAGAATTGATCAGTATTGTTCAACAAGAAGGTCTCAAGATCTGTCAAGATCTAAAACTCCAGAAACATCTTAAATGGGAACTCAAAATAACAAAAGTAGAATTAGGCTCATTTTGTAGACAATTCGAAACTGATCCCAGCAAAAATAGTAAATCCTGCATAGGAAATTGCAGTAATTCTTACTACTCTAAAAATAAACCCAGAAAATACTCGAAAACCTATAGAAATCATAAATCTCACGAAATTTCCTGAAAAAAAACCTCGTAAGATATTTACTCCAAAAGAAATAAAACCCCCAAGTCATTCTACAAACACCTCACTTGCTTCGAATGTAATAAAAAGGGTCACAATTCAAAATTCTGCTGTTTTAACAGAAAAATCCAAGAACTCGGCCTTGGAGAAGAACTTTCGAGTAAAATATCAAATCTTTTGCTAGATCACTCATCATCGGCGGGTAATGCTTCTGATTCATCATTATCCTCTGAAAAAACCCTACAAGTTGATGAGCTAAAAAACACATCATCCGGCTCTGAATCTGATGAAAATAAAATAAACGTACTTACAAAAGATCAAGAATTTCAGATTGAGGTCTTGAATTCCATTTCAAATCCTTAGACGAAACAAAAAATATTTAGAAACAATCCTTTCGACCCTGAACGAAAAAGAAATTAAAAAATCTGAAAATACATCAAAGCCTTCAAAGCCTAATAATCCAACATCTTCAAAATCATCTTATGATCTAACCACAATCCTTAACAAAAGAAAGAAAGATGGTTCGAAAAAAACAATTCAAGATCTTAGGATGGAAATAAAAGAAGTGAAAAATGATCTGAAAACTCTTAGACAAAAGCCAAAAAAAAAGATTCTGAGTATTTTTCACTCAATTATATCTTCTATCAAAGGGAATCATGATTCTAGTTCTGATGAACAAGACAATGATAACCTAGATAACATAGAAGATGATCTCAAATCTCAAAGAATAAATATAGTCTCTAGAGTCTGCCCCTAATAATTTCCCCTGTATTTTAAGAGAAATCACTTCCCAAAAATATAAAATAAAAATCACACTTGTTTTTCTGAAAATTACAAAATTGATATGATCGCTCTGTTTGATGCAGGCGCTGATCTTAATTGTATCAAGTCTGGGCTTGTTCCAAAATGCTTTCATCTAGAAACACGAGAAAATTATCTGCTGCTAATAATTTCAAACTCCGCATAAC